AAAATCAATGAGTAAATTAACGGTGAACTAACAGAAATTAACGGAAAAAATAATATTTAACGGAAAAGTTAACGGATAATCATATTCATTAAGGATAAATTAGGAAAATCTTAAGGAAAAATTAAAATCTGATCAATCTGAGCCATTCATTTGATTAAAAAAATTGACCGCCATTTTTTCTACCCATTATAGGTCTAACTCTCTTGGGCTCTTATTAGTATATATATATAGTAGATAAAAAAATTGACCGCCATTTTTTCTACCCATTATAGGTCTAACTCTCTTGGGCTCTTATTAGTATAGTAGATAGTAGATAGGCTAGCCCTCATCTTGATAGACGGTTAAAATCAATTTTATGTTCTCATTTGATTTTATCCCATATATATATATATATATATATATATATATATATATATATATATATATATGTACATACATATATGTTGCAATCCAAAAAAATCAAACTTCAAGTTTGGATTGCAACATATATGTATGTACATATATATATATATATATATATATATATATATATATATATATATATATATATATATATATACACATATATATAGCGTTCAGGTGCGAATGGCTTGTCCGGGAAAGAAAAAAGAATGCATGCTATCTGTCTACGTGTGCAGATCTAATGGATGAAAAACACTGATTTTAAAAAAAATACGGTGGCATTTTCGTAAATAATTGAACATCGAAGTGCAAGTAAAATGTATTACAAGTGCAAGTAGCAGTTTCATATAGTGCACCTAAGTGCAAGTAAAATGTATTACAAGTGCATGTAAAATATATTAAGTATAAAAACTAAGTGTACCTAATGTTATCGGTAAGTATAGTTATAAGTAGGTGCACCTAGGTGCATGAATGTTAACAATGTAAAATTATATGCACTTGTAAGTGAAAATAGGTGCACATGTAAGTGATTTTACCTGTATTTTTTACTTGCAAAGGTACACCAGCTACTTGCATTTATAACACATTTACATGCATCAAAGTTCGAGTTATTTACGAAAATGCCACCGTGTCGTTTTTTTAAAATTACATCTGATTCATTGATTTTGACACGTGAATGGCTGGCATGCATTCTTATTTCTCTCCTGGCCGCCTATTCTCACTCGATCGTGACCCTATATATATATATATATATATATATATATATATATATATATATATATATATATATATATATATATATATATATATATATATATATATATATATATATATAGGGAAGGGATCAGGTGCATTTGTGGCTTCCCGTGCGGATGTGCGGTAGATTAATGTGCGTGAGGTTTATACTTAATGTGCGTGAGATTTGTACTCAATGTGCCTGAGATTTGTACTTAATGTGCGTCATGTTAATATGCGTTAGTTTTGTACTTAATGTGCCTGAGTATTGTGTTTAATGTGCGTGAGATTTGTGCTTAATGTGCGTGCATATTTCAGAATTACGAGCTCAGAAGGAAGCAGAACAGAAACTCACACACATTAACGCCCAATCTTCTTGTTACTTCTTCCTTCAATTTGGCCATGGATTCTGGATTATCAGCTACCTTCAATGCAGTTGAATGTTTATATAAATGACGCACGCACAGTAAAATTTGCACAGCAGCTAAGTGTGGATTTCTGTTGTATTATTCCCATAATTCTTAACCACCATAGCTCGCCTCCGCATCATCATCATCAGGGAGGGGGCAAATGGCTACTGGGGATGGGGAAGAAGCTGACATCAATATTTTCTGCTGCATTTTACACATTCACGCACATTAAGTACAAATTTCAGGCATATTAAGCACAACACTCACGCACATTGAGTACAAATCTCACGCACATTAATCCACCGCACATCCGCACGGGAAGCATTCAACCGCACGGGAACCTTTCACTATATATATATATATATATATATATATATATATATATATATATATATATATATTCTTGTGACAAACAACCATATTATTTGTTATGGAATGAGTAAAGTATGTATGGTTTTATATGTACGTACTATACCTTCTTTGAATTAATATGGCTCTCCATATTGCTTGTTATTACATGATTTGTATAGTATATAGTTTGTCACTATCAAATCATGAATTATATGTTATAAGAGAACGACATATAAATTGAGGTTTATTTTGTTTGGCCATTTAATTTGAGCCTATTTGGTTTATTTAAGGCATTAAGGACTTGCTTTAAATTATAGGGTCATTTGGGATCAATTATAGATGAAGGTTATATCCACTATTGATTTGTATATATGTTTATAAATGAATTATTAGCATAAAGCGAGTGTGTTAGTCGCCAAAGCGGCCCACTCATGGTAATAGCTAATTAATCATTTATGTTTATATATATAAATTAAAGTTTACTTACATAAATGAGTTATTAGCATAAGGCAAGTGCGTTAGTCGCCAAAGCGGCCCACTCATTGTAATAGCTAAATAATCATTTATGTTTATGTTACAACATAAATTAAGGTTTATTCACATAAATAAATTATTAGCATAAGGCGAGTGCGTTAGTCACCAAAGTGGCCCACTCAATGTAATAGCTAAATAATTTTTTATGTTTACAAATGTTTATTATACACATGTGTTTTGCATCATTGAATGACACTAAAGGATTGATAAACATTTGTGATCATTAACACATGTTTCTAGCGGTTGCCCAAAGGTAGATCAGACATGTGATTAATGACAATTTAGGAGATTATGATTCTTGTTTTGTTAATATGTAGTACATGTCCAAAGATGACCTATATATTAAATTGAAACTTGATGAATAGTCTCATTCAAGTATGTTTGAATGATGCATGTAGGCAAATAGACATTGTATTTAAATTTGACCCAAAGGCGGATTTAAATACAAACTTAAGGTCTATAAATTATAGTCTGAATAAAGGTTTGTTACTCAAAGCAATTGATATGTGAGATAAATATTCGCAGTGAACACTATCGTATCACGCTATAATGGTCTCAGTTCTGATGTCAATAGTAATAACAACAAGTGTTTTTTTTTTTTTTTTTTTTTTTTTTTTAAAGAAGGTGTTTTTTTTTTTTTTTTTTTTTTTTTTTTTTTTTTAAAGAAGGTGTTTTTTTTTTTTTTTTTAAAGAAGGTGTTTTTTTTTTTTTTTTTTTTTTTTTTTTTTAAGAAGGTCAAGCATCCTATGATGGTGCAAGTTGATGTTCAGAAAGTGCAGAAATGCTATTCTGTAACAAACTTGGGCACAAGAAGGCTGAATGCCTGAAGAGGAAAGCTTGGATGGAAATAAAAGTATACATTCAGTTTACATTCAGTTTTTGTATGCTTTGAATACTTGGTGGTTAGACACTGATGCTACATAACATTAAGAAAGATTTTTTAAGCAAGATTTTTTATGTTTCAACCTCATAGGGAAAATGAAAAGTGTCTTTTCATGGTCGGGAAACATGATGAAAGCTAGAATTGAAGGTATTGGAACTTACAGAATTAAGCTGGATACATGTTTTTTGCCTTGATCTTGAGAATTATCTGTATGTTCCAAATTTTTCTAGAAATCTTGTTTCAACAGCGGGAAACATTGGGTTTTTACTTTAAGGTTGGAGACAAATGTTCGTATCAACAAAAACCTTTATGGTTTTGGTGTTTTGTTGGGGATACACTATACTGTTTCAATCTTAATGATGACTTCGTTAATTCCTTGTTTAATGTGATGTTTGTGTTAAAAGGAGTGCACCAAAAGAATCTTCAGCTGACTTGTGGTATAAAAGGCTTAGTCATATATCGAAAGAAAGGATATTAAGACTTATTAAGACTTATTAAAGTTGAAATTTTGGCTCAATTGGATTTTTCAGCCATGCCACTTCAACTTTTTAATACAATAATGTTAAAAATATTATATATATATATATATATATATATATATATATATATATATTGGTTAATTGTACTTAATAGATGACTTGTCAAAGAAGTGATTTTAATTTATGGGACAACAAGGCATATTTTAACCAAATAGTTTTGATGTCACCTGAAGATAACTTTTGAATATGACCATAATTATGTATAATAAAGAGTAAATATCCAAAATGGTCCATCGACTATAGCTAAATTCACAAATTGGTCCTCGACTTTTAATTTCAACCAATTAAGTCCTTAACTTTGCAATTTTAACACAATTTGGTCCTTTGTCTATTTGACCGTTTGTTGACTGCACTTTTTTAGGATATATATGTAATTTCATGGTCCATCGTCGGTTTTTTAAGGTTCCGGTTGCATTTCTAGACCGCACTGTTACATTTGAATCCACTGCCGGCGCGCACCCTATGCCGGAGAGATTATAGCTTTTGATAAATAGATTCGGGATCCCCAAGCAGCAAGCGGAGAAGCACTTTCCCCCTCCGACTCCGAAACACAGCGTTGTCACCTCCAAGAGCGTTCTCTAAGCTGAACTGGCTCGTGATCCCCAAGCAGCAAGCGGAGAAGCACTTCTCCCTCCAAAACAACGATGTCACCTCCAAGAGTGTTTGAGCTTTGCAAGTGAAACTACATATATATCCTCAAAGATCGCGATCAACAAACGATCAAATAGATGGAGGACCAAATCGTGTCAAAATTACAAAGCTAAGGACTTAATTGGTTGAAATTGAAAGTTAAGGACCAATTTGTGAATTTAGCTATAGTCGAGGGACCATTTTGGGTATTTACTCTATAATAAATCTTTGCAAGCAGGTTTAGTGTTTCTCTAACAAGAGAAGATTTGAAACGGTAGCCAATGTTATATATTTTAATTGCATACTAACCACGCAGTTTAAAGAGTGTTGTTGGATAAGATCAGAGAAATACCCTGCTACTACAAGTATGATTAAGCTCACAATATAATGGTGCAGTGGGATATCAAGTATTATATATACACTATTGAACACCCGAAAAAATAGCAAGAAGGAATTGAAAAAGTTGAAATTTAATTGAAAACATTATCTATGCATGAAACAATAATATTTAATTTGTTTCATAATAATATATACATCAGATATGATATTCTAATTTATTATTTTTTTATAATGCATGCATTGTGTGCATTTCACAAAATAAAAAAAGTAAGTAAATTGTAGGTGTAGGTTTAATAAGGTTTTTGGCCGGCATAGTTACCGGGAGGGTAATAGTTGCAAGTGACGAACATCCAACCAGTCTTGCATGTAGCCCTAGCACAACCAATAGTGGTGGTGTTGCCCCAAACCACTTGCGTATAATGGAGGCACTCTTGGCTGACGCAAGCATTGGTATTGTGGTTATAGTATGGCTTCTCATCCATCCACAACTTCACAGAAGCCTCCGCAGACAATTCAGAACCGGCCATCGCGATGTTTTCGCCGTACGGCCCTCCTGAGTGCTCCAGCAAACAGTCGGCAGCCCTCTTGGTGGCATAGGATTCCGCATATTCTGCTAAGGTGGTGTTCCACTTAAGAGGTGGACTACCAACAGCTTCTCGTGCTTTGTTATGTGCAGCAAGAAACCCTTCAATGCAGCCAGAATCACAGGCCGACTCTCCAAAAGATGCCTGGCTAATAGCGGCTAACCCAATTATATTTATGGCCACACACACCTGCAGAAAAGAAAACTCCCCCATTTCTTCTTTCGATCTTTTTTTTTTTTTTTTTTTTTTTTTTTTATTCTTATGATCGATCGATCGAGATGCAATCTAAGATGCAATGCCATTCACATTGGGTTATACGCTATTTATACTACTCTATCTATCCTAAAAGAGTGGATTGCTTTTAATCATTTCTATGGCTTACAAATAAAACAATAATGCTCACCTCACAATTCACAAATATAATATAATATTCATCAACACATTTAATAACGATGAGTCACTTTAATTATTATCGAGAATTTCATTATAATAACTTATGCAAATTGAATAATGTTAATAAATATAAGATGTTTAACAATGCTGTATTATTTGTTGAAAATTTATATAGTAATATAATGGTGATTAATTTTTTGATGTAGTATCATAATACACAAGGTTTCCTGTGTAACAATATGTTTAACACTGATGTGTTTGTTGAAAATTTATAGTCTTTGGTGTGATCCTAGACAACCTTTGACAGGCCCAATAATATACTTAATTTTGTGTAATCCTCCAGAACCTCTCAGGTAATTTAATTAGGAGTAATTACAATTGGTATCAATGGAATATCGAACCTTAAGCATTAGGTCCCATGAATACCGGGACAGAGCCAGGATTTGTTGGTGCGGGGGCCGAGTTCACCGCCACTCTCGACAGGAGCTAGTAATTTTTTGAATTGAATCAAACTAGCTTCAAACTTTGATAATTCATATTAAGCTCAACTCAATTACATGTATCATTACTAAACACTAAGCACTACCAATTAATCAATTGGAACCAAATAATAACGACGAGTATCGATAATTTCATTATAATTAATAACTTATTATAGTAATATCCTCCCCACCACAAAGAATTTGCTTATAAAGAGGGTGGATGTTGAACCAAATTGTGCCATGTGTGGTATCATCCATGAAGACACTATGCATTCTTTGGTGTTATGTGATTTTGCAAGCAACATTTGGAGCCAATTTAGCCTTTCAATTCCTAATATTGTGACAAATGTTTTTCATACTTGGTTTAGTGAAGTCTTGAATATTGTAGACACTAATGGAATTATGTACACATCTGCAATTCTATATTATATTTGGAGGGCGAGAAATGGTGCGGTCTGGGATACTTAACTTCCATTGCCAAGAAGAGTGATAGCGGCCGCCACTACCGCATTGCAAGCATGGCGTCATGTTCATCCGGACAGCGGCCTCCAGCCACCGGCCGAGACCGCTGAACCATCCGACGCTGCCTTGCTTGCCGAGACCATCCATGCCGCTGCCAACCACGAAGTCGCGCCACTGCCGAGCCTGCCACGAATGTGCCGGGTCGATGCTGGTTACCGACATGCAACGAACAGCGCAGCGGTAGGAGCCGTCCTTCTAGACAGGAATGGTGGGTACATCTCGGCCTTTAGTGCTTCTCTCTCGGACTACTTCTCTCCACTTATGGTTGAGGCATTTGCATGCAAAGAAGCGTTGTCATGGTTGAGGGATTGCAGAGAACGGTTTATAGTGCTACAAACGGATTGTCTAATGCTTCAACGATACCTATCTTCGGCAGCTTCCCCAGTTCGTTCGTATATCGGCTATGCCATCGATAGTTGTAGGGTTTACACATCATCATTTGATTATTGTTTAGTTCAGTTTATTCCTAGATCTGAATTTTTTTTAGCTCATTTGTTATCTTCATCAGCTTTTGATCAGACTACTACTTTGTATTGGGATCAGGACCCACCTGATTCTATTTCAGCTTATTTTGAATAATACCAAGTTTGGTTGCTTTCAAAAAGAATAATGTTAATAAATAGAAGATGTTTAACAATGATGTGTTTGTTGAAAATTTATATAGTAACTAGTTTTACACGCGCATTGCGCGAATGAGTTAATGCCCAATATTTATATTTGAAGTATATATACATGAATGTTTATGTTAATATAAACAGGATTTGTCTTTGACAAAGACATTATCGTAGACCATCATAGAGAAGTTCATTATGAATCATATTAAGTTTGAAATTAATATTGTGGTTCATAGAAGGGACTGCGTTAAATTAAGTGACATATTACCGCCATGATTCTTATTAGTTTCTAACTTAACGATCACTTATGTTCTGACCAATATAACAAAGGAATTTCCTTATACCATGCATATTATGTTTCACGTTCATTATTAAATTTATGACTTATGAGTCAAGTGGAGAATGTTAGAATAATTATTATTAATATTATTCTATTTGCTCATTGTATTATCCTATGACTCATAACCATTTATTTATATTTAATAATGAAATAATTATATGATTGGCCAGTTAAAGATAATGGCAGTTTCAACTGCTCATCGGACCTCTCAGGTTGATGGAACCGAGAGATTATTATTAGCCACTCTGATTCTCTGGTCCTCTCCCAATCTTCTGAAAGAAATTAAACTCTCTTCATCTGAGTTAGACTAAGGAATGTTGAAGATCTGGAGGGAGAAACCAAGTCTCTAGTTCAAGAATTCACGGGACAACAATGGAGCTAGGTATGTTCACTAAACGCCAATTGAATACAGTATGTAAAATCATGTGTTCTGAAGATTTGGTGTTTATAGGTTCAACTTACCAAAAAAAATGTTTATCTTACTTTTCATCATTAAGCATGGAACCACGCACCTTAAGATCTGGTGTGAAGGACGCACCTTAAGTACACAAACCACGCACCTTAAGCACACAAAAAAAAAAAAAAAAAAACACCTTAAGAACACAAACCACGCACCTTAAGAACACAAACCACGCACCTAAGGTTTTAAAAGGGTTTACAAGTTTCACCCAACTGACGCACCTTAAGCATACAAATCACGTACCTTAAAAAGGAAAACAACGCACCTTAAGAAGAAAACCCACACACCATAAGTTTCAACAACTACTCACATTAAGCACAAAACCCGCGCCTTTAAGCACAAACCTCACGCACCTTAAGCACAAAACCCACGCACCTTTAAGTTTCAACAACTACTCACATTAAGTACACAACCCATGCACCTTAAGCACAAAAACTCACGCACCTTAAGCACAAAACGCACGCACCTTAAGCACAAAAACCACACACCTTAAATTTGATCTAGATGCAAAAATTACCAAATCGCCACCGCATTTTTTTTTTAAATTGTAGACATTGATTTAAGCAAGATCAATGACTCAGATTTAACAGCAAAACCGCACGGGAAACAGTCAACTAAATGGGAACTGAATCTTATATAGGAATTAAGGTTCAAATTGGCCACTGAACGTAACCTGAAAATGCAATTAGGTCACTGAACGGAAAAAAAAAAAAAGTGCAATTAGGCCACTGAACACTCCAAATGTATGCAATTTCACCGGATAGCAGGTTACCATCAATTTTAGCAGGTTACCTGCTTACGTGGCAGCTGAGTTGCCATTTTTAATAATTTTTAAATAATTTTTAATAAATTTTAATAATAATTTTTTTTTAAAAAAAAAAACGACGGGGTCGTTTTATTTTTTTCAATTTTTTAAAATTTATTATTAAAATTTATTTAAAATGCCAACTCAGTTGTCACATAAGCATGTAACATGCTAAAATTGATGGTAACCTGCTATCCGGTGAAATTGTATACATTTGGAGTGTTCAGTGGCCTAATTGCACGTTTTTGGAGTGTTCAGTGGCCTAATTGCATTTTTTTTTTCGTTCAGTGGCCTAATTGCATTTTCATGTTACGTTCAGTGGCCAATTTGAACCTTATTCATTATATATATATATATATATATATATATATATATATATATATATATATATATATATATATATATATATATATATATATATATATATATATATATGAAATTGTGTTGAAGCAATAGGCTCACTATTAATAATTAAGCCATAAAAAACTATGTTGAGCCATAGCAAGACTCAAAACCTTGACCTCTCTCAAGGTATAACATGCACCCTGCCAACTAATTAAACTAATTCATCTCTTGTTAATATTTATTTGTGTTTTTGTACTAATACTAAAATCAGCACTATATATACATATCTACATACTAAGGTTATATATGGGATGGGGGTGGAGGTGGGGGAGGAGAGCAACTGCCCCCACTGTCGCTCCGCCCCTGCTGATACTAACGAGTTGATATACTGGCTCAGTGGATACATTAAGCTCAATGCTAGATCAGCTCAGTTGGTGAATAAATGGTTTAATTTATGACTTTTACGTACAGTGCATGCATGAGATACACAAAGCTCAATGGTATATCAGCTCAGCTGGTAATCATTTGACTCAACTGGTGAACATATGTGTTGTGTTTGTCTCATATATGGATTAGGAATATGAGTTTGTCTCATACTAGGAGTAGGAGTGAAACGGGGTAGACCCATTGTGCAGGGATTAGATGTCTATAAATATATTGGTTGTATCCCTGAGGGTTGTGTCACCTGAATCACCATCACAAATAATAAGAGAATACTTTCACTCCCGTGGATGTAGACACATTGCCGAACCACGTAAATCTTGTCTTCTTTACCTTTTTGTCATTATTATTTTCTTGTTCTTGTTAATCTCAACAAATTGGTATCAGAGCACTGTTGAGATGACCAGTTCAAGCACAAAATTCGAGGTATCAAAATTTGATGGTACAGGGAATTTTGGGTTATGGCAATCTAGGGTAAAGGATTTGTTGGCATATCAGGGCCTTCTAAAAACCTTGAAGGCGGGAAAATCAACTAATCTGGAAGAGGCTGATTTGGAGGAGTTGAAGAACCAAGAAGCTATGAACGTGGTTCAAGCTGATGACTCTTATTATAGTGAAGGTGATGTTCTAGCAGTAACTAGTAACAAGTTCGAACATTGTTTGGACTTGTTTGGCGTTTCTAGATGCTAGATGAGAAGGTGGGGAGGGGCGCTGTAGGGTTGGGCAGTGCGGATACCAGGAGGGGTCGTGGACCTGGTATCGATATGGGTCAATATTGGCTCGGTATGAGTCGGGCTTGTCATGAGTCACGACTGGTACGGATTGGGCTTGTCATGAGACATGGACCTGGTATGGGCCGGGCTTGGCATGAGTCACGGCTGGTACGGGTTGGGCTTGTCATGAGACATGGACCTGGTATGGGCCGGGCTTAGCATGAGTCACGGCTGGTATGGGATGACTTCTCGGGACAACGAAGAAGTTCGTGAACATGCACTGGGAAACTTTTGATGCTGCGTTGTGCGTGTTGCTGGCCAGTGGTAATTGCTGGTTAGTGGAGAATTGGGCAAGGCACACGGGTTTAGTGTGACTTTGCAGGGGCGCTGTTGTGTTAGGGGCAGCGTGGATACCAGGAGGAGACATGAACCTGGTATGGGCCAGATGCAGGAGGTCAGCTAAACGGGACAGTAAGTATGAGTCGCGGCTGGAATAACAGGTCGACGGCTGATGGGCGAATGACTTGGGACAAAGCGGTTCGTGTACATGCTGGAAAACGTTTGATGCTGCGTGGTGCATATGGCTGGCTAGTTGGGATAAACATGGTTGTTCCTATCCATGTGTATATGTGAGATAAATATTTTTCTCCTAAAGGGCATATTTGCGAAGGTGGAGATGGTTAGATAAGTCTTTTCTCCTATGGGACATATTTGCTAAGGTGGAGATTTGTTGAGTTATCTTTTTCTCCTAAAGGGCATATTTGCGAAGGTGGAGATAGTCTTTTCTCCTAAAGAGCATATATGTGAATGTGGAGATGGTGAGATAAGTCTTTTCTCCTAAAGAGCATATTTGTCAAGGTGGAGATTTGTTGAGTTATCTCTTTTCTCCTAAAGAGCATATTCGCCAAGGTGGAGATTGTTGTGTTTGTCTCATATATGGAGTAGGAGTGAAACGGGTAGACCCATTGTGCAGGGATTAGATGTCTATAAATATATTGGTTGTATCCCTGAGGGTTGTGTCACCTGAATCACCATCACAAATAATAAGAAAATACTTTCACTCCCGTGGATGTAGGCACATTGCCGAACCACGTAAATCTTGTCTTCTTTACCTTTTTGTCATTATTATTTTCTTGTTCTTGTTAATCTCAACAATATGGATTATGACTTCAACCCACATTTACCAGGTTTGATCTTGTGTCTTTACTCACAATCTACCACCCAAAAACTAACTCAGCTGCCTGGGCAAAATTTCTATAAGCTGCATACATCAGCTGCTGCTACTGAGGGTTCTGATGAAGGGCCTTTGTGGAGTGCCACTAGGGAAGCATAGTGACCATCCCTTTTAGCAATAAGCATATCATGCGTTCCCTTCTCCACAACAGCCCCATCCTTAACTACAGCAATTACATCAGCTCCTCTAATTGTCGACAGCCTGTGTGCTATCATTATCGTGGTCCGGTTCACCATAATCTTATCCAGTGCATCCTGAACCATCCTCTCCGATTCAACATCTAGCGCGCTGGTCGCCTCGTCCAACAGCAGTATTCTCGGGCTCTTCACAATGGCTCGGGCAATGGCCACTCGTTGCTTCTGTCCCCCAGACAGCTGAACCCCTCGCTCCCCTACCACCGTGTCATATCCCTGCATATTTTGTGTCATGTTAAGTTAAGAACCAATGTATTTATAGACATCTAATCCGTATACAATGAGTCTAACCCAAATCGCAGGAGTATGAGACAAACTCAACAATAAAGAACACAGAGAAAACACTCATTTAATTGTGACCTGTTGCAGGCCACTGATGAACTTGTGAGCATTTGCCAGCTCTGCTGCAGCTATGACTTCTCCTTCTGTTACATCTTCTTCTTTCCCATAGGTAATGTTTGCTCTGATGGTGTCATTTAATAAAACTGGTTCTTGGCTTACAAGCCCCATCTGCTTCCTTAGCCATTTCAGGTTCAAATTTCTAATATCAACTCCATCTAGCATTATTCGCCCCGAATCAAAATCATAAAATCTCTGCAGTAATGCTATCACTGTCGACTTCCCACTCCCACTCTTCCCCACAAGTGCAGCTGTCTGGTAACATTAGAGGTTTTCAAAACGAGACGTTTAAATTGGTTCAAAATAGTAAGGAAGAATGGACGAAACATACCTTCCCTTTCAGAACTGTGAAGCTGAAACCACAGAGAACTTTGACATCTGTTCTAGTTGGATATGCATAGCATACATTTTGAAACTCAATTTCTCCCTGCACCGAGTCTAGTTCCAAACCAGACTTCTCGTCGAGGTCCATTTTAGACTGTCTATCTAGAAGCCCGAATATCGACTTAGCAACAGTTTTTGCCTTTCTGAAATCTTGGGTGAAGGAGCTTAATTGAGATAGTATAGAAGTTGTAAAATACATTGCATAGAAAACCTGTCAGATGAAAAGAAAGTGAAAGAACTCTCTTTCAGTACCAATATATTGCTGAAGAAATAGGATTGTATGGTATGATGCTTACGCGAAAATAATCATCAAACGTTGCTTTGCCACCCGCCACGAGATGTGCACCAAAATAAGAAATGCTGGCGTGAATGAAGAATATCAAAGTACAGGTTAGACCAAAGCTCATCCCTGTTATCAATCCTCTCTTAATTCCTCTCCTCTTTGGTTTCTCGCATTTTGTGTTGTACAGTTCCATGACCTTCTCTTCTGCACAGAAGGATGCAACTGTTCTCATGTTTCCAACTGCATCGCTGGCAACTTGCGTGGCATCCTCGTACAACATCTGAAACAATTGAGACTAAATTAAGAAACTGTCTTTTTTTTTTTTTTTTGGTTTTCAGGTGAATAATGTTACAGGTGATCAAGAAACTGATAGCAAACCTTTGTGTCGGTACTGAACCCTTTTGTGTGTTTGGCTTCAACGTATATATTTGCCCCGATTAGTGGGAACATGATGAAGGAAAACACTGATAGCTGCCAGCTTGCTCGAAAAGCAATGACTAAACCAAGAATACAAGAAACAAGATTTCGAATCATCTGGATAAGGGCATCACTGATTAATGTTCTGATTGTAGCTGCATCAGAAGAGAGCTTTGCTGCTATTACTCCACTCGAGTTCTGTGGCTCATCGAACCAACCAATTTCTGTATGAACGACCTTTTCGAAGCACATGGAAGCAATTCGATTGATCAGTTTACCTCTAGCCACCCCGAATAGGCATGACGTTATCAGAGTAGAGAGTAATGACACCACTCCAAGAATCACCAGCATTAGTGCCCAGAATGCTGAATCTTTCTTCAGTTTATTTGGTGGCAAGTAATATGTTTGGATCATATTGGCCAAAAGTAAGCCAAAAAGGGGGAAGATAGCTCCATAAATGAGAGCAAAAGTGGCAGCTGCTGCGAGCGTTGGAAGTTCTGGCTTGCAGAGTGAGGCAAAGCGACAAAGTGAAACATCTGCAGCCTTTTCGGGTGATTTTTTGGATGAAATCACATGTCTTGAAGGATAATTGTCAGGAACATCTATTGACATTGAACCCGAGCTCCATTTTTCCAACTCTATATTGGATTCTGCTGTCATATCCTCACCTCCCCGCGATTCTTCTGCTTTATTTGCCTCTTGCAAGTGCAGAAGCCGAGAGTAGGCTCCTTCGGGATCCTTGAGAAGTTGAGAATGAGTGCCTGAAAGCCAAAAACATTGAAAATAGAAGAGAGAACATATGGGTTTATAAGTTCACGGGTTAGACTAGCTAATTGATTGGATTTATCTTTCAGTGTGGTTTGGCCCATGTGAGTTGAGATAATCAGATACCTTTTTCTGCAATCTGGCCTTGATGAACAACTGCAATGATGTCCGCGTTTCTAACTGTGCTTAGACGATGAGCAACTATGATAGTTGTTCTATTCACCATAACTTTTTCCAGTGCTTCTTGTACAGCTCTTTCAGATTCAGCATCTAGAGCACTCGTTGCCTCGTCTAGCAACAAAACCCGCGGTTCTTTTAAGATTGCTCGAGCTATGGCGATTCGTTGCTTCTGTCCACCCGACAGCTGAGTTCCCCTTTCCCCTACCATGGTGTCTAGTCCCTACACAAAAAAAAAAAAAAAACCAGCAGCCTTATGAATGAACAATATCTGTCAATGAACATAGTTAGCGAAATGATTGAAACCTGAGGCAGATCTTTAATGAAGTTTGGGCACTTTTTTAAGGATTACAAATCAAGAACTCACATTGAACCGAACAATACAGCGAAGGTTACTATGATAACTTCACCGCCCGTATAGCCCTTTTCCAAGACCAACCTCCCACCATACCAGAAAGACAGAGAGAAACTGGAGAACAGAATAAACATGAATGTCCCAAAGCCTAATCCCTGAGCAAGATGTTGATAAACCTCAGACTTGTAAGCCTTGGCAAGCGATGCTTTGTAGCTAGCCACCGCTTTGTTTTCCCCTGTAAACGACGCAACCTGGGAGAGAACAACAACTCAAGTAAACTCAGAACCAGACCAAATGGCATCATGGGATGACACGAATCATTAAAGCCTCAGAACCATACCATTTTAATTGAACTAACAGTCTGCTCTACTACATTTGCAGCTTTAGTATAAGCGGTTTGTGCACGAGATGCAGTTTTCGCCATGAAGATGAACGAGATCGCGAGAGATAGCCCCACGGGGGGAAGAGTGGATAACATAACCAGTGCAAGATGCCACCCTCTAACTAAGGCAACCACAAATCCCGCTACAAATTCTGCAACCAGCTTAACGAACTTCCCCACCTATGCACACAGTGAAAAGTTCAGAGACGATTTAAAACTATGAATTCTCGAACATTTGGAACGATGGGTAGTGTACCTTTTCGCCCATAGCATCTTGCAGGACAACAATGTCACCAGACATGTTTGCAGTAGTTTCACCTGTGCTTATTTCCTTGTCAAAAAAACCGATTTCTTGTCTTAGAATACTTGTCAAATAAAGGTTCCTTATTCGGGCAGCCTGTCGGTCTCCTGTGACCATCCAGCAAGCCACCTCTGTGTACAAAGATGGTTACTAGGAAATACTTTAAGAGGGAGATATGATCACTGGCTAAAAGTACTTACGAGAAAACGAGGATGCCCCCATAGCAAAAGCAGCATAGACAAATTTCATTGACACCTAAATTTGACAGGTTAGACATTGAGATAAGCAGCACATGACAATTAACATTATTCTTAAAGTCAATACCTTGGAAACTGCTGGAACAACGTTGTTTCTATCCTGGTTGTGTCCAAAGGCATCTATCAGCTCTCCGAGCAAGACAACCATCATTACCTCACACGCACCACTCGCGATGGAACCTACTGTGCCGATTCCCATCAAGATTTTATCTGTAAAATCCGCAAAGGAGAAGAGCTTGTAGAATGGAATCCAGTTCTTGCTTGCCTCTATAGTCATGTTGTTCTGCTTCTTCTCATTCCCAGTATGTATGTTGTTGCAGGCAGTTTAAGTTATAATGGACCATGTTCTTTAATCATTATGGACTAGTTTAATTACAATAAACAACAAATGAATAATGGATTATGCAAGAAAATGTTGTCTGTCAGAAAACTTGGCAATGAGGAGTTCTGGGCATGTTGGCTGCTGGCATACCAAGATCTTGACTTAGATTATTATATGAGAGAATGTTAGTAAAAAAAAAGGAAAATTATTCTGGAAAGATTGTTTCTGGATTTATACTTGTAAACAATTTGGGTCCAAGAGATTTGGAGAGAATAATGTGGAGAGAATCTTGGGATACTGCAGTTGGTTACTACTTGTATGATTGAAAGCAGAATATATTGAATCCATGTTAGCTCTTTCAACTCTGATCTGTCATTATGTTGAAAATCACAGGCTAACAACCTAAGAGGATCTAAACCAACTATATCAACCTAAATAGTCCTGTACAACTATTAGACTTGGTTACATTGAATGAATCTAGAGCGGGAATGTATGTGTAATTGCTTAGGCCGGGTCCTATCATTTTATAGGGGTAGCAACAAAAATAGAGTTTACATTAAATTTATATATAAATAAATAAATAAATAAATATATATATATATATATATATATATATATATATATATATATATATATAAAATTAAAATTAATTAAATAATAGAAAAAATACTAATATCATATAACTTAAAATAAGATTTATAAGTTTTTAACAATTCTAAATACAAAATAATAATCATAAAAACAATTCTAGATGCTTTCCTAAATTCAAAATAATCAATAAATGCATCAATACCTTCATAGATAAATAATCATAATTTATAAAAATAAATAAACATTTTTTTTTTGAAGTACCCATCAAATATCATTAAATGGCACTTCTTCCCCCTAAGTTATATACTTATAGCACTTTCTCTCCCTGAATTATTCAAGTGGCTGTTTTTTCCCCTAAAATGTTAAATGGACATATTTACCCTTAAAATAAATATTTAAAATAAATATTTCATTTATTTCCCTTCTCCAACAAATTATGACAATAATTTGGTTCAAACCAAACAAACACTATAGCAACCAAACCGAAATATTCCAATTACAATTTAGAATCGAAACTCGATATTTAGAGTTTATTAAAATCGCGAACCGGAACGGACGATTCATTTCCGAACTGAAAAAAATAAAATACATTTATTGTTGAATTTATACTATTTAAAATAAAAAATAAAATTTTAAAATAAAGACGGTTCAAAATCGCGAACCGGATCCAGAACCGCCGATTCACGGTTCAAGATCCAATTTTTTTTATTCATAATTTTAATAAATTGAAATCCAAATATTAGGTTCTATATCTAAATCATAACCTGAAACTTTTAATTCAATTGCTATAGTGTCCGGTTCAGTTTGATCTGAACTGTGGTCATCCCTACGTATACGCAATAATTTGTTGGAGAAGTAAAATAAATAAAATGTTTACTTTAAGGGTAGAAATGTCAATTTAATATATCAAGGGGAAAAATCACCACTTTTAGAATAATTGAGGGGGCTAATGTGCTTATCTAAATAATTGAGGGGGAAAAATGACTATAAGTATATAACTCAGGGGGGAAAAGTGTCATTTGCTCTCAAACAAATGAACAATAAACTTGGGAGGGGAAGCTTCCCAAACCCGAGGAACTAAGAGTTAATAGCATTCGCTGCAAGTGCATGATCATAGACCGACGAACAAAACTAATCTGACATAAGCTTAAAGAACTAAACAAGGAAGAACAAATTACATCACAAATATAACCAAGGTATGAACTAAAGGTAGCACGTCTAGCCAAATTCGTACAAAGAAACTGATCGACAGTGAACAATAGTCAACTCTCTGTCCTTAATCCATGAGAGAGCCTCTTTGCAAGCTCATGCCTCTGCCATGTGTGCATCATTTACTCCCTCCAAAGAGTCATTTTCCGCAGCCACCCACTGACTGCCCAACGTTCTCAACGAATAAACAATTTAAAATCACATAAACTTATAAACAATCACATTGTTATTATAATAAATAATAAATTAATTATTAATAAAAATTTATAAAATAAAACTTAACGAAAATAGCAAAGCATGAAATATTAATTATTGTTAGCAATAAATAAAAACATTTTAAAACTTGATAAAATATATTTATTGTTGTAATTCGGCCTACTGATTAGCTCAATCTACCGGGATTGTTGTACGGTAACTCGCCAATTATATGTATATATAATATTGTAATATGGAATGGGAGAGTAGAGAGAATAGTAGAACACATGATATAAGAACTTCAAAAAGGCTCATCTTATTCATCCTTCAACATGTATATATATACAAAATAATACAACCCTTCATTTCCTAACATAATGAGGGAGTTGAAGATAGGGCAAATGAAAAGCCTCAATGATAATGGCCATTCAATAATATATTTATAACACTCCCCCTTGGCCATTATCTAACAATACTCATGCCTCGTTAAAAACCTCGCTAGAAAAACCCAGTGGGAAAAACCTAGACGAGGAAAAGAGTACATGAAGTATGTCAAACCATGTGTTGCACTGATTGCCTCATTAAAAACCTTAGCCTAAGAAAACCTAGTGGGAAAAAAACTTAGCTAAGGAAAAGAGTACAACCATAAATCTTCCGGGCATAATCTTCAAGATTTCAAGGGTCTTCAGGCTAACCACTCAAGTGCACCAACATTGGTTGCCTCATTAAAAACCTTAGCCTAAGAAAACCCCGTGGGGGAAAACTTAGCTAAGGGAAAAAGAGTACAACCATATGCTTTCAGAGCATAATCTTCAGGATTTCAAAAGTCCTCTAGATTTCCCATTCTAGCACAACTAGGGGTTGTCGCTCCCCCTGAAGATAACAATCTTCTTAGCCAACGCATCCTAATTTTATAAACATATTACTCAAAAGTGGATGTAGGGAGAGACTTAGTGAACATATATATCTGCAAGATTATTCACTAGGGCAAACTTTCTCAACAAGAATTTTACCACTCTTCTGGAGTTCAAGTGTGTAGAAGGACTTAGGTGCATGCAATATGTTTTGTAAGGTTCCTCTTAACAAAACTATTACTTGTTTGTGCAACACAATCTTATTTGTCCTCATATGGGACATTGGGGTTAAAAATATAACATAACCAGTTTTGGACTTGGCATCATAGGGATCAAATAAAAGAGCCATTGCCCAAGTAGCCCATCAAAACCACATATTGGTTTCTCACATAAACGTCAAAATCTTTGTACATCGAAGGTGCTGGAGGATATGTTAAATACCATTCCAATTTTCATTGTAGGGTGAAACACTAAATGTTGCTAGCAATTTCATCGCAAATTCAATATCAGGCCTGATGCGATTATGGAACTTCTAGTTCAATAATAGTGCTCCAATAGGAATGAAGTAATGGACTTCCAATCCCTAAATATCCTCATTATCATCTTCGAGTCTAAATGGTCTTTTATCTACTTCAAGAGATTATTGGACAACCGTTTGTGTGATAAGTAAATAATACTTATCCATATAAAACATCTTCAAGACATTTTTCAAATAGGCTAACTGGTGTATAAAACTTCTTCAAGGAGAAGCTCGATCTTCAGGTCGAGACAATACTTGGATTTCCAAGTCTTTTATTTCAAAAACTCCGTCTTTCGGCATGAGTTGATATCACCAAGCTCTCTATGTGTTTCAATGATATTTAGACCATCAATATCGACTATGATAATAAACAAATAACTCCATTAGCAATTCTTTAACGAACACGTAATGGTACATATTTGCATATTCCTTCTTCGGGAGGAAAAATACACAGTCAACTCAATCATTCAATATGCATTCCTTCTTCAGGAGGAAAAACACTCAGTCAATAATATTCAATTCTTACAAAGAATTTTGTAATTTAATGATACACGTTGCGATTTTCACTTTCCACATTCCAAAAGTGTTGAATCCATCGGGGATTTACAAATAAATATTAGCGTCTAATGACCAGTAAATTACAGTCATGACGTTCATCAACTGCATATCTAAATTCATAATTCACTGCCAATAATGTTAATTTGCGGAACGTAATGCCATATGTTGTGGAAGAGAATATTTGATCAAAATTAATTCAGGGTCTCTGCGAAAACCCTTAAGCTACCAGTCTCGCTTTATATCAGACCACCATATTGTTTGTATTGCTCTTTCGTACAAACACCCATTTGTAACCTACAGGGTTAACATTAAATGGTGTACGTGTTATAAAGAGAATACAGTTTTAGCGAGCTGAGCTGTACATGCCTTA